AGGAGCGCGAGGAGGCGCCGTAGCATCATAATGAGGCCACCCCTGCTTCCCACCGCAGCGTCACGCTGAGGATCGCAGACCGAGCCAGCTCCCAGGGTTTCGGCAGCCCGGAGCTTGGCGTCGCCTGGAACAGGAGGGCCCCCCGCCGCACCCTGGAGGAAAGCGTTTCCAGCTGGCCGCTGCCCAGGCCCTCCAGAGGCAGAGCCGCGAGGCCCCCGCCGGGGGATCCAGCAGCGGCGGCAGCTCAGCCGACAGCATAAAGCTGGAGAGCATAAGGAGGAAGCTCGAAGCCGCCAAAGCTGCAGAGGTGGGTGTCCTGGAGGAGGGAAGCGCATCAAGGAGCTGCAGATACAGCTGGCGGAAGCAAAGGAACGCCGCCGGGCCCGTCGTGCGAGGGATGCCCGCAAGCGCGAGGCGGAGCGGGCGCAAGCCAGGCATCCCCGCCGGGCCAGCTCGGAGCCCCCCAGCGGACAGAGCGCGGCCACCCCGCTCGACCCAGCCTGGGAGGACGAGACCCCCCTGCCTTCGGCCATCCTGGACGGGGAGAACAAGTGCCACGAAGCAGAGTGCATCCTGAACAACCTGCTCGGGGTCCCGGCCAGCGATCCCACAGGGCCAGATCGGAGGAGGAAGGCCCGCGAACTCCTGATCGAGGGCATCAGCTCCATGTTTGAGGATCTACCGCGGAGCTGGACTGGTACCCCCTACGAGGAGCAGGGCGAGATCGCGAGCGAGTGCGTCGACATCCTTGAAAGGCTAACCCGCAAGATGGTGAAAGCAGGAGAGCTGGACGATATCCCTGCGAAGAAGCGCCAGAGGATCGTGCACGAGAAGGCAGAGGAATATCCCCCGAGCGACGACGCGGACCCCGTCGAGAGCTCGGAGAGCGAGGCAGTGGAGGGGCCGTGCGCGAGGACAAGGGCGGGACCAGCCCCGCGCATCCCAGAAGACCCAGACCCTCTGAGCCTCTGGCCTGGGCAAGCAGAAGCGGCCAGGCAAAGTAGGGAAGAGCCGTTTCGGAGCTCCCCTGGGGCGAGCGGCAGCGGCGGCCCAGCCCCCGCCGCGGACGCGGGGCCCCCGCCGGGCGCACCGCCGCCGCCGGAGGCCCTCGAGGCCCCCCCAGACCCGACTCGACATCAGAGGGGCAGACCCGCCACCACGATCCCCCAAAAGGCAGCACCTGCGAGGCGAAGCCGCTCAGCAGAGACAGTCGTGGAGGCAGCCAGGCGGGCCGCAGGTAGGTCGACGACCTCCAGCGGAGGCCCACCCACTGGGAGGGCAGACGCCGGCAGCAAAGAAACGCCCGAGGAGGCGCCCACGCCCAGGCCCAGGCCAAGATCGTTGGGTGCCCAGCTGCGAGCCACCTCCAAAGGGTGCCCCTCGCAGCCCAGGCCTCGCCAGGACGAGCCAGTGGGGCCACCCGTGCCCCCGGCCCACACAGTCCAGCCGTTGCTGAGGCCGAGAGGATGGCGCCCGCTCCTCCCAGGTCAGATCTGCAGGCCGCCAGGCATGCCGCCGATGATGCCACCGCCATGGCCGTCTCCCCCGCGGGGAGGTCGCTGCGGGGGGCCCCCCCTGGAGGAGGCACCGGCAGCCACCAGCAGAGGGAAGGCGCAGGAGGAGGCGCGCGCCTACGTCAAGTGGTGCGCGGACCACCCCAACTTCCAGCCCGAGAAGGTGCCAGAAGTAGTGAGGCGAGGCAACTCACTCCTCCGCCTCGCCGGCAGCGTAGAGAGAGCTGCCAAGCTGCTGAAGCATGCACGGGAAGAGATCCACGGGAACCCGCTGGGCGGTGTGCTCGGGGAAGACGTGCAGAAGTCCTTGGATCCACATCGCGCCGCCTACCTCCGGGCGATGGCCACCGAGGGGGCCCCTGTGCGACGCACGGAGGAGCGGGCACGCACGCAGGCCAAGTCACACTCCTCAGCAGTGGACCACGCGCTGGAGATGTTCGAGAAGGCCTGGAAGGACAGCCGCTACGGCGTCGTCCTCTGGGCCTCAGACGAGGTCGAAGATGTGCTCGCCGCCTCGGCGCTGGTCGAGTCGCCCAGCGGGATGGCCCCCAAGATGTTGCCGGACCGGACCATCTCGAAGGAGGGCCGGCCGATCCACGACACGCGCGCGGCCAACGCCTTCTCCTTGAAAGAGCAGCACCCACCAGCTACGCAGCCCCTCCACAGAGGGCTTGCTCGGCTCAGCCTCTGGCGGGAAGCAAGGCACCCGGGCGTTCAACAGGTGGTCGCGAAGCGGGACGTGGCCAGGGCCTTCAAGTGGCACCACCTGGAGCCAGCTGCAGTGCCGGAGTTCGGGGCAACGCTCCCGGGCAAGGAGGTCGGGGTGCCAGGGCGAGTTATCTTGATCCATGGCGTGCTGGTCTTCGGCTGGGCCGGCAGCCCCGGCGAGTGCATGGCGTTCGCCTGGGCGGCCTGAAGAGCGAGCACGAGAGGAGGAAGCCGCCGGCGCCCAGGATCAACGATACTGTCAAGTACGCCTCCAAGTGGCCGATGGACGACGGGGTTGTCCTCGAACCGCTGGTGGGCCTCCGACCCTGGCTCTCCGCCGAAGAGCTCGACGGGGCCATGAAGCGGGTTTGGGGCCCAGACGCGGTCAACGAGGAGAAGCTAGACGTCGAGGGGGAGTTTGCTGCAGAGCAGCTGATCTGGAGCCTCCACATGAACTTCGATACGAAGGTGGTTAGGCTTCCAGAGCCCAAGTGCATCAAGGCCCAGTGCCTGCTCGCCCTCCTGGAGCTCAGGGGATCAAGACGGGTCCCCCTGAAGGTCGCCCAAGAGCTGCGAGGCTGTGCTCAGTTCTGGGCATCAGCACAGCCTGCCCTCCGCCCCGAGTTACCCGCCCTGGACCGGCCCCTGAGCAGCGGGACGAGCTGGGCAGAGCCGAAAGGCACGCCCGAAGAAGTCGAGCTCGCCTGGGAGGAGTGGGACGCTTCCGTCGGCTTTCTGAGGATGCTTTTCGACGTCCCCGAGGCTTGGAGCACGACCTTCCAGGCCAGCTTCACGCAGGCGCTTTCAGTACGTGAACGCCTCGCGCTGCCGGGAACAGCACGCACCACGAGGCGGACCGGGGGCGATGCCACCACTTCCTCGATTGGCGCCATCGACTGGGGGAGCGCAACTGCAGGGAGAGCCACGCCCACGCCGGAGTACATGGCCGCAGACGCCGGGCCCCTGCTCGAGGCCCTGAGCCAGGCGGTCGGAGGTGAAAGCAGCGAGGAGGACTGGATCATTGCAGTGGTCGAGCTGTTGGCGGTGGTCGCGCTGGCCACGAAGCAGGGCCCGAAGTGGGAAGGTGAGCTGGTGTTCTACGTCACCGACAACCAGAACGTGAAGGCGTGGCTCACCAAAAGAAGTCCTAAGAACACCCTCGCACGCCACCTGATCCGCTTGGTGGAGAGGATCGAAGCTATGCACGGGTGCCGCATCGTCTCCTTCTTTGTTAGGACCTACCACAACGAGGTGGCCGATTGGCTTACCCGCGAGGAGGTCAAGAAGGTTCACGACACGCTGGCCACTGCGGGCTGGAAGCGCCTCGAGCCCCCCGCGGCCTGGGGCCAGATCCTGGAGGGCGCCAAGGAGCGCCTTCTTCGTCTCCCAGGGGAGACGGGCCCCGTGGCCGAGGCCGCCCTTCGACACCGAGCTCTCCAGCGGGGGCATGGGCTGCCGAAACCCCTCCCGCTCCACGGGAAGTTGGGTAGAGAAGTGGGGGGCCTCCTCAACCCTTACGTGAAGGCCCTCAAACGCCTCGGTGGATCAGAACCCGAGGAGAACCAGAAAGCAGAATGGCTCATGGCGTCGCTGTCCCTGGACCCCAAGGGCAGGGAGATGGAGGCGTTACTCGTTGCAGCGACTAGTGAGAGCCCTGAAGTGGTAATCGTGGACGCCCCGAACGGAGTGGATACGGCCAGGTTCGAGAAGGCACTCAAGCAGCTGGGCTATGTGGTCTCGAAGTTTGAGGTGGTCTGTACGCACCACGGGGATGCCACCACGCGGACCAGGCAGGTGCTCACGGGCGGGCGTCGGGAAGCGGGGGTGGGCCTGGCGTGCATTAACATGCCGCCGGCCTGCTCGCGAGCTGCCGGCGTCAAGCCACTCTTGGACAAGGGAAAGGACCACCTTTGACTCGACCAGCAAGGCGAGGTGTCGTGGGACCCCCGCATCCAGTCCACCAGCGACCCCCTCCTCCTAAAGCCAGTCGGGCACCTCAAAAAGGATGGAGTGAAGCACCTGATCTACAGCGAGGAAGGGCCTGTAGGCACCATCCGCTGGCCGGGGACAGGACCCCAAGGACCCGGGGCGACGCTCCTCCGAGTCACCGGGGGAGGCGGAGGCACGGTCCGTGCCCTGACGCCCCAGGAGGTTTGGCGGGCGCAGGGAGGGACCAACGACGAGTGGGCCCACCTGCGGGCCCAGGGCTCCACGGAGGACGAGCTCCTGAAGGGCGCGGCCAGAGCTCTCCCACCGAGGACCGCAGAGGCGGTGCTGGCCGCAGTGGCGGAGGCACTTGGCAGTGCCAGCACGCAGCGCGCCGGAGTATGCCATGATCCAGAGGAGCAGGCTGCGTGAGATGCTACCAAGCGCTGGTTCCGCGCCTGGGCACAGGCACCGGATCGGCCCGCGCTCGTGCTGGCGGCGGAGGACGAGGCAAGCGCAGGAGGGGCGTTCACTGATGAGATGCACAAGAATCGTCGGCGTGCCCAAGCAGTTCGCTTCAGGGCGATCGATGAGGACACGCTCATCGGACCTCGCGAGGCCCCAGCCGCAGAGGAGGTCAAGCTGGACAAGCGTGTGACCCGCTCGAAGAGCCCGCGTAAGAAGAGCCCCCGACGTGCCAAGGAGATGCCAGCGTCCAACCTGGTGAAGCCACAAGCGCTGGGCATCGCGCGGAAGAGCAACTACCCCGGGAAGGAGCTCGCCCCCGCCGGCCATGCTGAGCCAGGCGGGGCAAACTACGCCAGCTGGTTCGCGCAGCAGAAGATGGAGGCCATGCTGCAAAAACTCAGCGAAGGCACGAGAGCGGGCTACGAGGGGGGATGGCGGCTCTGGGTAGCCGTGCGCCAGGCGCAGGGACTCAGCCCTTGGCTCCCAGGACGCGACCGCGAGGAGCGCCTGGCCGACGAGGAGGCGCTCATCAACTTCGCCGTCCTCCTCGCGCGAGTCGTGGGAGGACTGAGGGGACCATCAAGCAGAAGCTCTTCGCGGTGCGCTACGCCCACCTGGTGGCTGGCTACTCGGACCCTTTGCTCCACAGAGGTCGCCTTTGGAGCACCCTGGCGGGGCTGAAACGCTGGCAGGGACCCGAGACCAAGCGGAAGAAGCCCGTCATTCCAGCCATGCTCGAGTGGCTCCGCGCCCTTCTTCAGCATGAGGCCAAGCTCCCCGAGGAGGATGCGGTAGTCATCTGGGCGGCAATTTTGACGGCGTTCTTCTTTCTCCTGAGGGCCTCAGAGTACCTCCTTCAGGACGGGCGCTCATGGTCATTCGAGCGCGTGCTGCATGGGGAGGACGTAGAGCCCAGGAAGGCCGGGAAGCGCGTGCCCAGCTTCCAGGACGCCGACGAGATGGTGATCTACATCAAGGGCAGCAAGACGGATCAGCTCAACGTCGGGACGGTGAGGAACCACTACCGCGCCGGCACGACGCTCTGCCCGATCGCGGCGATGGAGCGGCTCCAGGCTCACCATCCCCAGCGGATAGAGGGCGCCGAAGAAAGGCTGCCCCTTTTCCGCTGGGCGTCAGGTACACCGATTCGCAGGGCAGAGATGCAGCACTTCCTGACGGTCGCGGGGCTGGCCGCCGGCCTCTCTAGGGAGGAGATCGGCAGCCACTCCTTGAGGATCGGCGGGGCAACCGCGATGTACCACGTGACCGAGGACCTCTCCCGGGCGCGCCGGTTCGGGCGCTGGCAGTCGGACGCGTTCCACGGCTACCTGTGGGAGTCGCACGAGCCGATGAAGGGCATCTCCGGCAAGATGGCCAGGGGCACCTCCTCGCTGACCAACCCGGCGAAGGACAGCAACCCCCGCAGGGCTGCCGCCGGCGCCGAGGGCGCCAGGCGTGAGAGCCCATGATGAGGGGCCGCAGCGGGCGCCGCCGGTGCTTGCACACCTGGCGCGCGCCCAGCCCAAGCCGCCGGCCTCGCCGCCGTGCGCGCTTGAGTGCCGTAACTCAACCACCCGCGCCGCCGGCGGATCAGCCGCGCGCCCGCAGGGCACACCCACCCGTGCCTTCGGCACTGGTCAATACTTCAGCGCGGGCATGCGCGCACAGGCCTGTCCGCCTGGGGCCCCACTAGTGCCTGGGATACTGTGGGTGCCCTCCGCAGCCATCGGACAAAGGCCATGCTGAAGCCTGCCTGGCGCGCCGGCTCTTTTTGTCGAGCCTGGTCGTGCCGGGCATACTGACGCCAGCACAAGACACGGCAGCTGGCAACCTGACAGCCCAGCGTAGCCGCGGCACCAGAATTCGAGCACAGGCACAGGCCCGCACTCCAGCGCCGGCTCGGGGAACCCCCAGGGGCCGGACCCTGCCCGCCCCGAGCACCGGTGGGGGGGCGGGGAGCCGGGAGATCTGGAGGCCGCAGCGCAGACGGGGGCGCCGGGCGCCAGCCTGTGCCAAGCGCCAGCGATGGCATGTTCGGGCCTTGGCCCGAGGTCAGGCTCCGCCAGCAATCAGTGCGCCGGCGCGAGCCCAAGGCCTAACCTCACGGAGGACAGCCGTGCACGCCGGCACCAGTTGCCTGGCGGCGATCGGCAGGCAGGAGGGCCAGTTGGGCCCCGCGCGCGCGCCGGCGCCTGCGCCCGGCTGTGCACGACTCAGAGTCTAGATGGTGCCGGCTGCACAGAGCCTGGCACCCAATTTTGATGGTGCCCATCACGGCGCCCACACAGCAACGCCGGCGTGCAGAGTCCGCCAGGCGGCCAGTGTGCAGGGTCACTGGCAGCAGCACCAGTATCGCTAGAACAAAGGCGGCGAGGCCCGCTTCGCGTGGCGGAAGGAGGGGCCCGCCTGGCGCCCCTAGCGCCGGCGGGAGGAGCGTGCGGCCAGCGCAGCAGCAAAAACGGGGGAGAGCTGCACCGCTGGTATCATCATCATCGTCTCCTGAGGGCTCGCTTCTGACCGCTTCGCGGCTGGCACGTCCCGCGGCCTTGCAGCAGGCCGCGCTTTCGCTAGCGCCGTACTGTGGGGGCGGGGTCTTAGTTGTTTGTCCTAAGCGGTTGGACCCCGCCCTCCCCAGTCGGCTTGGGTTTCCTCTTTTCCCTGCCCCTGCTTCTGCCTGCTCCTCTCTCTCCCTCTCTCCCGCTCAAGCCCTCGGGGCTCAAAGCCCTCCCAGGGCCCGAATGGGGCCCTCTTTTGTCCGCCCACCCTGGGCTTTGCCTCGGTGTCTAAAGGCACCGCGGCGAGGCCCGCTTCGCGTGGCGGAAGGAGGGGCCCGCCTGGCGCCCCTAGCGCCGGCGGGAGGAGCGCGCGGCCAGCGCAGCAGCAAAAACGGGGGAGAGCTGCACCGCTGGTATCATCATCATCGTCTCCTGAGGGCCCGCTTCTGACCGCTTCGCGGCTGGCACGTCCCGCGGCCTTACAGCAGGCCGCGCTTTCGCTGGCGCCGTGCTGTGGGGGCGGGGTCGAGCGCCAGTGTCAAGCGAGATGGCTCCTGGCACGGCGGTGGGCGCGCGCGATGTTGATAGCCTCCGCGCCGCTGCCAGCTATCGCGCGCGCTACTTCCGCCCGCAATAGCAGAGTCGGTGACGGGGTCTGCGGTCTGCGGGGAGACATTTTGCTAGGTGACGGAGTTCGCGTTCGACGTGCCAACGCGCTGGTGTGATGGCCCGCAGACTGCGGGGAAATAGGTCGCTGCTTCACCGCGTCGCCTCCGCGGGTTCTCTGCCAATCGTTTCAGAGCTGCAAGGTATTTGGGGGGGCGCCAGAAGGGGCTTGCCCGATCATGTCCCGATCGCATCGCGGCCCCATGGGGCGCAAGGGCCTGGCAATCATCGCCCAGGGCCCGTTGTCCGCGAAGGTGGCCGGGGAGCTGGGGGGGGGGGGCGCGAGGGGGGCGGGGGGGAGGCCATGCTCGAAGATGCCACGAGAGTGTTAGAGTCTGCCGCTAGGATCGCGACTGGCCGACATTCAGTCTACGATGTTCGGGTCTTCAGGTGGCCAACGTTGCATTGATGTTATGTGCGCCATTGGGAATGTCGGGCTTTTTGAAGCAGCCCCACCCACTTTACATATTAAACGCCTCTAGATTCAAGCATGCCGATGTGGGGCCATCACGGGATCGCCTGCCATGCTATATGGAAGCGATGCGCATGATGGAGTACCCCGCGAGAACGACGCGAACGACCGCGCTGGAATCCGTGGGCCGTCGTGGAGGTTGCGCGGCAAGGCATCGGGCGCATGGGTCATCTCGCCGCCGCGAACGCCAAGCCTCTGGATGAGGAAGATTCGCGGAGAAAGCCGCTTGCGCGAGGGCGCCCCGACGAAACTTCGCGCGCCTTGAGGCGACTCGTCGATGTGGGCAGAATTTCTCAAAGTGAAGGCCACCAAAGGTGACCGACCCGCAGGGCGAGCAGCAGCAGGGCCAAATCCTGCGAGAACGCGCAGAGCTACGACGCGCACGGGCCGATGCAGACGCAGATCTCGCAAACGTGTTGACTTCGACGACAAGAATTGCCACGGCGCCGGCGCGGGAAATTATTGGTTGAAGTTGATGAAGCTTGAGACAAGCGTGAGCTGGCGGAGGCGATGAGATTGGCGCGACTGGCAGGGGCGCGCAGATCTGTCGCGAAAAACGCGATGGTAGATTAATTTGTGGTGGGTGGTGTTTCTTCCCTTTCTCAACAGGAGTTTGCTCAGTTCTGGCCCCACCCCCCTGACCGCGATGGGGGCCGTCGCGCGACGCCCGCGACCGCCGGCAATTTCGAGGTGGATATCATGACCCAGACCCTGGCGCGTACATCGCCGCCGACTACAGCGGGCTTGCCCAGAGGGGCGAGTGGCGGGTTTCTAGCCATTGCAGGCGCGCCAAACATCGACGAGCCGCACCTCCAGACGCGCCCCCTTTCGGAGCTCTGGTTTAACGCGCCTCGCCCCGACGGGCAACGCGGAGACGACGGGGCGCGGCGCGGGGCCGGGCGCGACGTGCCCCTTATTTTCCGCCTTTTCCGCCTTTGGAATTTCTTCTGAAACTGCTGCAAGCGGCGCGTAGAGAGATCGGGCTCACAAGCCTTGATCCGCTTGCCTAGCGCCGTAGCTGCGGGGCCCAGCCGCGCAGCGGCGCGGCGCCTGGCCCGACGGGCCGCCGCGCAGTGCGCGTCGTGAGCGCGGTGGGCAAGGCTTTCTACCGCGACGCGCTTTGCGCCCCGCCAAAAAGCAGCGCGCGGCTTTATCCCGGGCGCAATGAGAGGGCGATGTTTTCATGGGCCAACTCTTCGGCCGGCACCCCCCCGAGGCTAGCTGCTCTTTTGCCGCGAGCAACGAGGGCCTGATCAGTGCAAACAGGACTGCCGAAACAATGTGCAGGGCCCCCTTGCTGATGCCAGGCAGATGCCGATTTGGCAAGCCTTGGTAATTATCGGCCGCTCTCCACAGGCGGCGACGGCGCTGGCTCCAGCTGCGGCAGCAGCAGAACTTGCGCAAGCGAGTGGGAGGCCCCATGCACCTCCCCCATGTGCGTAGGAATCTTGGCGGCGCTGATCCTACAGCAGGCGCCAGTAGCTACGACCTGACCCGAGGGGTGCACGGGGGCCGCGGCAGCGAGGCGCGAGGAAGTTGCGCTGGCAGCTCCACCGATCCGCTTCGAGTGGTGGGGCGACGTGGACTTGAACAGGGCGGCGCAGAGCCGCCGCGAACTCGACCTGGGGCTGCAGCGCGGCCGCGTGCAAGACTGCCTGGCTGCGCCAGGTTTGACGTGCTGGTGAGCCTCCAGAACTTGCGCTGTACTACCCAGCGCTAGTCTTGAGGGAACTCCGGAAGCTGCGCCCGCGCTAGCGTCATGCCCCAGAACCGAACAAGTGTGATCCTGTCAAGTGTAGGCTTGATGCCGCACGCCTCAGCATGATGGAGGGTGTCCGCGACTCGCGCCGCAAGGGTCGGGCCCCAGCCCCGTTGAGATGTCATGCTCCGGCCGTGGCGGCGCTTAAGACAACGGCGCGGCGATCGCCGCTCAAAGAGCCAATGGCGCGGAACTGCGCGGCCGCGCACGAGGCCAACGCGCCGCCGTCGTTGAAGCGCGGAACGGCCTCCGACGACGCGCCCTCGCGTCGCGGTGGAGGAGGGGGTCGAGAGTTTTGACGCCCTTCTGTTGCTACCTAGACTTCTGCGCGAGGGCTCTTTCGCGCGCAGTGCGTGTGCATAATATGACGGCGCGTCGCCGCATCGAGCGTTCTACGGCGGACTGCCTGCCCGCCTGCCGGACCCGCCGTCGACGCGCCGCGAACCAAGGGCGGACGTGCCCGACGCCGGCGGGGGCAGACGATCAGGGGGGGGAGCGTCGAGGCCATCGCGCGCGCCGCAGCAGTGGCCCAGGCTAACCGAGCGCCGCGCACGACGACCGCGCCAGCTGGGCAGCGATACGTAGAGGCACTCATCGTCCGCGAGATTGGCTCCGATACGACGGCCACGTGACGCGTCTTGGCCTTCGTCGCGACCCTGCCCGCGAGAGAACTTGTCATGGTCTTCGGCTACCTGCCCACAGCTCATGGCACCTGCGGATGGCCGCGGCGAGTGGGCCCCCACCGAAGGCGCATTGGCATTTAGCCTTGCAGCTTTCTATCGGACTTGTTCTAGATCATCGGCAAAGCAGTGGCCGCGCGCTTGGACAAAAGTATCCGCGGGCTGCCCGCCGCGCCCCATTCCCATTGCTGCGCGCTTGTAGAGAACGGCGGCGGCGTCATTCCAGGGTTCTACTACCACGAATATCCAGGTACAGTGTGGTAATCTGCGCGTCGTCACTGGATTAACCTGCGCAAGTGTTATTCAGCGCCTCGAATCTGCATGACCCTGCGCAGATCGACGAAGAGATGTCCAAATTTGACGGGGTTGGCGGGCGCGCCACCATCGGGCGGCCGCG